TTGGATGAAGTGCATTCTCTTTCAGATTGGCTCATGGGTGCCGAATTCCTGAAGTACTTGTTGAAAAACAGAAAACTTTCCTATGGCCTTAATACTTGAAGGACAACTTGTTTGAATATACAATCCTTGGTTCACACTTTAAAAAACAGAATGTTTAAAAAAAGCTGTCTCAGGGCGCCTGGGGGGCTCAGATGGTTAAGCGTCTGCCTTTGGCTCAGGTCATGATCCTAGGGTCCTGGGATCGAGTCCCGCATCGGGCTCCCTGCTAGGCGGGGAGCCTGCTTCTCCCTCTGCCTCTGCCTCTCATGAATAAATAAATAAAACATTAAAAAAAATAAAAAAAGCTGTCTCATTGCTATATTGCTCTGTATGTTGGCTTTTAAAAATCTGATTCTTTTGCCTTTGTAAGTTATTTGATCTTTCTTCCTGAAGATCTTGAGCTTTTTTTTTTTTTTTTTTTGAGAGAGAGAGTGAGTGAGCACAGGAGCCAGTGGAAGAGGGGGCAAGGGGAGAAGGAGAAAGAAAATCTTAAGCAGGCTCCATGTCCAGCGCAGAGCTCGACCTCACTGAGATCATGACCTGAGCTGAAATCAAGAGTTGGAAGCTTAACCAACTGAGCCACCCAGGTGCCCCTTGAGAATTTTTTTAAAAATATTTTGAAATCTAATAGTTTTATGAGGATATGTCTCAATGTTGATTGTTCTAATTTTCCAAGGTTCCCAGTGGGCTCTTCCAATGTGCAGATTTTTTGCTCTTGGAAAGTTTTCTTACAGTGTTAATTATCAATTCTGGTTCATTGTTTGGTTTCTCTTCTAAGACTCCACTAATGCAAATGGGATTCCTTCTTTGACAATCTTCTACCATTATTTTGTTCTGACTTCTACTTCTTTATCTCATTTTCTTGGTTGTTTTTCTGTCTTTCTTCAATGTCCCTTATTATACATGTATTTGAGTCCATTCTCCTTTGGGCATCTTATAATGTAATCTGTATTTCTGGATAATTTTGTCTGTTTCTTCCAATTCTCTCCTGAGTTCAGTCAACCTTCTTCATTCTTTTCCTGGGTTTTATCTATTTCCATTCTTTTCAAAATTTCTCATTCTGGGTGATTTTGCATATCTTCAAACACTTGTTTTGAGTATGTGTAGTTCTGTTTAGAGTGCTGTGTTCAGCTTTCTTACGTTTTGTGGCTGTTTATTCAGGGGTGTGTGTAAATTTTCCTTGGTTGATATGCAATGAAATTCCTTTTTTGATATTTTGCAATGACTCCATATGAACCTGTTAATCTTTTCTTGCTCATTTCTGTGGTGCTGGGTGTTTTATTCCAAGTTTAATTCTCCTTCTTCTGCCAGCTCAGCAGAGTCCAGATGCTTTCATGGATTTGTTTGGAGAGTGGGGAAGGAGTTGTGGGTCCTTTGATTTTGTTCTTTTGTCTTGCAGAGCCATGAAATTTCTCCATCTGCTTCCCCTTTGACAACCAAATGCCAAAAGGCACTTCTCCCTTCCTTTTTGCCCTTCGCTCTCCCCGAATCTGTGGGTTTCAAAGACTGCCCAGTCAAATCACCATGTACTTTGAAATCCCTCCCTTATAGTCAAAGCTCTGACCTGCTCTAGACATGTCTTCACATTTTCAGACTTCAGGTGGACTCAGTCTTTCTGGGAGGTCTTCCATCAAGCGTCAGACACTACTAGCTCCCCTCTTCTCCTAGTTTCTCTCCGCCAGTCTGCCCAGAGCCTGCGCCAGGTGGGGCTGGGACGGGGACGTGGGAGACGGTGCGCTGTCCCTTGTTCTTTGTTTTTACTTACAGGTACTTTTAAGTTTGAGCATTTTGGTTTTGTGTAATTACATCTTTCTCTTTTCTTTATTCCAGATTACTTGGGTGGAGGGGGGGGATGAGAACCTGCGCTGCTACTGGAAGTCTCTCTCAAAATACTGCCTCTCATCCCTCCAGTTTTGGGCCTTGCTAGTTTAGAGTCCTTGGTGAATGCTAATGGACACAGCACTGGTTCTTTTGAACTGGAAGGGAAGACCGCTACCTTGTTATTTTGCCCTTTTCATGCCTTAGAACCAACAGCTCTGAAAGGATGATTGGTCCTGATGAGCAAGGAAGAAATTGCTGTGGTCACACAATGCAGAGGGGGAGTTCCCAGGACTCAAAGAACTAAAGACACTCAACACAGGCAGACTTACCAAGGACTCAGACGTCTCAGGGATGAAGGTCACCTTACTACGTAAAGAGCCTTTAAGGGAAAAAAAAAAAAAATATATATATATATATATATATGTATATATATATATAATGGATCAGAGAAGAAATAAGTTATAAATACCAACCTAGGGGTGAGAGATAAAATGCAGGATGCCTGATTATATATGAGTTTCAGAGAAACAACTATTTTTCTTTTTTGGGTAAAAGTATGTCCTAATGTTTGGGACATACTGATATGAAAAAAATCATCTGTTGTTTCTTTGAAGTTAACTGGACACCGTGCACAATGTTCTTATTTGCGAAAGTTGGAAGCCCCCATTGTGGCCTTGTAACTCATTACACAATACTTTCTTCCTTGCAAGTAAAATATAGCTTAACAACTATCCCTGCCCATGTCTTTCCTCTTGTGTAATAAAAAGTGTGTGTTATTAATGATTACCTTCTTAGTCCAGTGCCTTTGTTACAGGATACCAAGAGGGGATCGTGACCCAACTATTGAGCACATCCACATCCATGAACATTTCCACCACGGCCATGCCAGGGCGGGAGAGAGCCAGGGGGCTGAGTGCTAGCAGTGAATGTCTTGCCCCAGAACCGACACTCTCCGTTTCAGTAGCCAGAGCTGGTCTCATGGCGGGGCCTAACCTCAGGGAGGTGGGGAAGGGTATGAATGTACCAGAAAGTGGAGAACCAGCAACTGGAGAACATTGTGAATGTCCAGACAGGTGGCCAGTGGCCGATGGAAATTGGAGTCTTCCCTTTTGGCAAGAAATCTTGGTTGTAGGAGGGGTTGTTGTGGGAGCAGGTTGTTGTTGCTACGACCTTTGAGAAGTTGAAGTGTGAGCAGGGGTATGTGGACGTGGAGCAGGCAAAGGGGTAGACTGTGGTGGATGTCGTGGGCTGGTTCGCTCATGTCCGTCCCTACTTTCCTAGGCATACTGAGAGGATGCAAAACTAGAAACTTTACTCAGACATCTCTTAGTCCAATTAAGCACATGCATGCCTTATGATTCAGCAATTCTGCTCCTTGTGTGTATCCTAGGGAAATTGTCACAGACACACATCAGGGGACATTTATGACAGATGTGTGGTGGGGATGGGGAAGTTGGGGGTCATCTGGGGCCCAGCACTGGAGAGGTGGGTGGATGCATGGATGGCTAGACAGATGGACAAAAGGATGGCTGGTGAGTCCTTACACAGGCCAGTGATCGTAATCTTAGGCTAAGGATTAACCCTACCTCCTGCATCTGAGGGCAAAAAGAAAAGAAGCATGTTTTCCAGACTCCCCTGTGCTGGAGGTCTCTGGGAGACATCCGGCCCACTCGCTGGATGCCCTCTGAAGGCCGAGGCTGTTTGGCAGCTTCGGGAGCTCAGCCTTTCTGTAGGGTGCCGGCACGCTGGCGCTGCGGGGGGTCAGGAGGCCCTGCTGGCAGCTGCACCCACCTTCCAGGGTCTGTGCCCAGCACCTGGACTGCAGGCAGGGCAGTGCATTTGGGAACTCAGCAGTGCCGGGGCTGGCTCCTGGAGGCCCTCTCCTCTGGCCTTCCCAGCTGCCATGGAAGTAGTCGGTCATCTTCAATCCCTTTCTGCCACCAACAGCTGGACAAGCTGGTTTCCTGGAACCAACCCCTTCCTGATCTGCCATGGCTGGCCCAGATCACACGACTGACTGCCGTACCTCAAACTCGGGACAGACCTCCTGACCTGACCCGGAAGAGCCCCGCTTGTCCCAGGCCCTGCTCCCCTTTCCTGTTCTGCCGCAATCAGGAGGGGCAGGTGTGGCCCACAGGAACCTGTGCGCTGGGAGCCCAAGAGGCAGGGGCCACAGAAGTTAGGCCCGAGCCCCTGGTCCTTCTGGGCCCAGCAGTGCCAACTGCAGCTCCTGCAACCGCCCGAGGGCTGGCCCAGGGCGGAGAGGCCTGGGGACTCTGTGGCCCTCTGGCCTGCGCAGCTCTCCCTTCTGACAGTGTGGTAATGGAAACCTGCTCCGGGACGACAAAACACGATTACTAACCAGGTGGGTGACCACAGGAAAATCATTCAACCCTCTGGCCTACAGATTTCCTCCTCTGTGGGGCCCTGCTGAGCTGTTGCAAGCATGACGTGAGGCATCGTCTGTGGGAAATACCAGCGTGGTGCCTGGCAGTTAGAGATGGCCTCAATACGTTTGAACCCAAAGCATCTCACGTATGTGGAAAAAGGCCACGGGGGACGAGTTTGTCTTATCTAGAAGATTCTTAGGCTCACAGGTGGGGTTGGGGTGAGGGAAAGTCAGCCTCGTTGTAGCCCACATTGTGGGGCCTCTCTCTCTCTCGGCTCCCAAACTGTACTGATGGGCCCTTCCTAGAGCTGGTTCCAATCAACGCACCATGGGGAGCCCCCTCCCCAGGAGGGGGCCACCGGACCCCTGCAGCCTCCTCCGTTTCTGGCCTTTGGACCGTTGTCCTAGCTAGCCTGAGCTCACTGGGGCAGGGACCCCACAAAGCTCTGGCACTGAAAAGCCCTGGTCCCCAGGTGAGGAAGCCCAAGGCCAGCTCCCATGTTCCTAAGTTGCTGCATGGCTTTGGGCCAAGGCCCGACCCTCTCTGGCTCTGGGAAGCAGAGACAAGGATGTTTTTTCTCCCACTTGCCCGGCAGGAAGAAACTTTGGAGCCCTGCAGTATGGGGGTTCCTAGTCTGGAAGTTTTCCTGGAGCCTCTCCTCCCCCACCCCCGTGTGCATGCCCCCAGCCAGGGCTCAAAAGAAAACCAACCAGTGAAGGTCATTGGTGAATGTAAGTTTTTTTTTTTTTTTTTTTTTTAAGAAAAGAGCCACAGGACTGTGTCCTGGCCCTCGGTGCCCTCCTTTGGGCAAGACCGGCTCAGGGTCTGGCCTGGCCTCCCGGTTCAGACAGCGGCTGACAGCCCACGGAGGTAGTCCCCGGCCATGGGCAGCACGGCCCAGTCATCAGTCCGCAGGGCCACGGGCACTCCGTCCCCCTGGGCCGCCTCCAGTCGCAACAACAGCCTCGAGGCTGGGGGCAGGCGGATGGCCACATGGTAGCTGGTGGGGGGCTGGGCCACCACCACAAAGGGCTCCAGGTGGCGGGCCACCAAGGCCTCCAGCCCCTGTGGCCCAAGAGGGCACCAGAGGCGACTCTCGGCGCCCTCTGGCAGGCAGGAGTCCCAGAGCTCCTCAAAGAAGCCCTGGTTGTCCCCGTCGGGGGCCTGGGGGAAAGGCAGGAAAAGGTCGGCGAAGTTCACCAGCAGGGGCGGCAGGTGGGCATGGCACGTGAGGCCAGCGGGGGTGGCGAACAGGGCGCGCACGGCCAGCTGCGCGGGAGCGGGGCGACGCGGCCGCAGCGGCAGGTGCAGAGGCCGGCAGGGGCGGCCCGGGAGCAGGCAGGGCACGTGGACCGCGCCCAGGGGCCCGTACAGCTGTCCTTCCACGCGGAAGCGCAGCTCCACGGAGTACAGAGGCTCCAGCACCTCCACCTGCAGCTGCAGCACTGGGACCGGGCCCGCCGCTCTGCGGGGCCCCACACTTAGCTGCATCGGGGCCGGGGCCTCCTGCACCATCAGCACCGCGGCAAAGCCCTGGTTCTCGGCCACCAGTGAGGAGGTCAATGCAGGGGCGGCCAGCGAGGGGCCCAGGGCCACCCCCAGCTTGGGCCCCGCCAGGTGGGCCAGGAGGATGTAGTAGAGGCGTGCGTGGTCCCGCCCATCAGGGTCCTCCAACTGTCTGGCCAGTGCCTGCAGCAAGTCGGCCAGGCCTTCCGCAACCCCCGCGCGCAGCAGAGCTCGGCAGACCTGCAGCAGCGCCTGCTGGAGGCCCCAGTCCGAGCAGTGGGCCGCCGCCGCACGCAGGAAGCCTAGGGTGGCACTTGGAGCCTTCCCGTCTGCCACTTTGGACAGTATCTGCAGGTGCCAACGAAGGGCCTCGTCCCTGCCTGGCCTGGACACCACTTCCTGCCGCAAGGCCGCTCTCAGGGGCTCCCCCAGTTCAGGGCCCACCCTATCCAAGAGATCCACGAAATGGGGAGCCAGGGCAGGCCGGGCGCGGTACAGCTGGGCCAGTCCGTGGGTCAACGGTGTCAGCACCGTAGGTTGCGTGGCTAGGCAGTGAACCACCAGGTAGGAGGCCTGGAAGCAGAGAGTGGCCAAGGCCCGGGGGCCCCCATGCAGGGCTGCCCTCTGCCGCAGGCCAGCCAGCAGCTCCCCCAGGTAATGCTGGGGACACCAATCCTGGCCTTTCTCCTCCTTTTCTTCGTCTTCCGCACAGAACAAACACAGCAGATGCAGGTGGGCCAGGAGGGCCGACGGGTCATGCAGGAGACTGGGTAGGAGGCCACGGCACAGCCGGGGCCCTAGCAGCAGGGGGGCCGTCTCCTCTCCTGTGGGGCCTAGAGGCCAGTTCTCAGGGAAGTTCAGCAGGCAGTGCAGGTAGAAGAGATGGGCGGGCAGGGGCAGGGCTGGGTGCTGGGCGGCCAAGGTGAGCCGGCGGAGCAGCAAGGCCTCATCCTGGGCTGTGAACAGGGCTTCACCAAAGGCCGCCTTGAGCGCCAGAACGGCGTGCAGCAGCGTCAGCTGGGCCGTGCCCAGTAGCCGTACCAACTGTGGCTTGAAGAGCACTGGCGGCTGTCCCCGAAGCCCCCGCAAAGCCCAGCCCAGCAGCCACAGAAGCTGGGCCTGAGCCACAGGAGTGAGCAGGTAGGAAGTGTCCAGAAGCTGGGCCACAGCAGCCCGCAGCTCCCGGGCCTCCTCAGGACTGGGCTCCAGCACTGCAAGGCCACACGCCTCCTCCTCGGCAGCCGGCCAGCTGGGTGCCTGGGGCTGAAGGTGGGCATCCCCGTCCTCAGCTAGTGTCCAGTTCCAGGGACCACCTGCCGCGGGTGTATCCCCGGCCACAAGCAGGCCCTGCAGGCCGGCCCTCGCCCTGGCCTGTATCACCAAGGTGTTGCGCAGAGCAAGTGCCAGCAGCAGGCTGAGCGGCTGGACCGGGCCTTCCTGCCCCAGCAGGCTCCGTAGCAGCCCCAGGTAGCCCCCCAGCAGCCCAGGCTTGCAGCTCTCCAGCTCCCGCAGGCACTCACACGCTGTGGCCTGCAGGGGGCGCTGCTCCGAGGCGGGGCCAAAGCCTCGGCCCAGATCGCGGCCCGAGGCCAAGCCAAGAAGTAGGGGCAGGAGCCGGCGGGAGGCTCCCGAGGTGGGGCCCAGCGCATCCCCGGCCGCCAGGGCTGTGGTGGCCGCCAGCAGCAGGGGCCGCCGCAGGGCTGAGGGCCGTGGGGGCAGAAGGACCAAGGTGTCCAACAGGGAGGTGGCGGCTGCCTCGGCCGCAGCGGCGTCCGGCCACAGCTGGGCTGGGTACTCCAGGCTCAGGGCCAGCAAGGAAACCTGGGGATGGGGGATTTGGGTGGGAATCACGAAAATGAGGTTCAGGGCGCGGCGGGCTGAGGTGGCGAGATGGGCCAGGGCAGGGGGTGCACACAGGGCCTACCTTGGTCTGTTCGCTCAGCTTCTCACTTCTCAGTTCGCTCAGCAGGTCACGACCCAGATCCTCACCCTCCGGACCGGCCATGAAGGCGGACGGGCTGGCCCGGAAGGCACCCAGGCGCTGGGCCCAGGTTTCCCGGCTCGGGGGTCCCATGGTCCGGCACCCAGGTCCCTGCAAAGAAGCGAGGGAAGGTCAGGCCCGCGGCCGCCAGAGGGCGCCCGAGCACCTGTGCGCACTCCGAAGGGGCCTCCGTCACCCCAGGGCCGCCTCGTAAATCCCAGCCGCCCCCTGCCACGCGCAGACGCCAGTGGGGACCCCGCGCCCGGACCCCGAGATGAAACCGAGAGGTTTCGGGGGCGACGCCACAGCGGGCAACCACGGGTCCCCGCGGGGCAGGGCCGCCGGCGCGGGGTGCGTGCCGAGAGCTCATTAGGCCGCCCGCCCGCTGCCGACACCGAAACCACAGCGCCG